AGGGAGGAAGTGCTCCAGCGCCGGACGCTGGAGCGCGAGCATGCCCCTATGCTTCAAGACCTTTGGAACTAGGCCAACACTGCCCTGGGTTACATCTGCGACGAAGACGCCCCGACCCCTCACTCGAATGACTACACCAGCCACCTGATCTTCTTCACCGAGGTGGTGACGCGCCTAGAGGCCCAATCTGCCAGAGCTCGACAGCTTGTGGAGGAGAGGGGCCGTGGCCTGCTTCAGCGCGCCTTCTCCCGCGTCTTCAGCCATCTTCTGAATGCCTACCCCAACTTCGACTTCGACGCTGCCATTGCCCCCGTACCCACAGCCGTCCGGGGCGACCTGGCGCGTTGGGTAGAGGACCATGTCGACGTGTTGGTCAGGGCCTTCACCTCGGAGGATGATGCGGTAGTGGTCGTCGCGGATGAAGGTGACGTGGCCGATGACGGTGATGGGGGCGTCGCCGACAATGGCGACGATACCGATGAAGATGACGACGACGCGAGTGATGCGTCCACGGGTGATGTAGCGAGTGATATCTCCGCCTGATCCCATGTTCTCCTGTTGTTTCATTCTGCACGCAAAACTCGGGTGTGTCCCTTGGAAGACTTATAAGAGCATTTTGAGAGGGGGAGCCCCTCGTGTAAGCAAACTGCAGTTTTTACTTTCCTATGTGATGTGGGTATATGTCCTCGTGAGCTCGTGAAGCTGGGGGTGAGCTCCCCGTCGTGGTTTACCTTAGTCAGCGCCAACTTAGGGCTGGGTCGCGAGGCGACGAGTTCCTGAGGATCCCGCGGAGCTTATTGCCCCGCTTGAGGGGGACCCCTTAAGAGGTGAGCACCAGGCGTAGTTCTAGCGCGTGCCTGAAGAGCGTGTGCTCTGCGCGGTCCGGCTAGCGAGGAGCTTTGCAAGGAAAAGGCGATGGACAAGAGTCCCAAACCAAACAAGATCAAGAAGGCAAGAAACGGCTCAAACGAGAAAAACGCACCCCCTGCGCACATTGATAAAAATTCAGCTTCAACTTAAGTCCAGATCCAAAAAGCAAAGCCACAGAAGGAGAGATCCAAAGCAAAAGGCCGCATCCGGCACCTAGTATAGTCTTCGGGTCTTCAAGTCTTCTCACCAGCGCGGAGCTAAGTGCCGCCACTAGGCGTGGGAGGGAGCCCCAGGGCCTGAGGCCGACGCTCCTGAGACTCCGGGGCGTGTACAACCCCAACTCATTATTACGTGAGAGTGTCATGGGCGGCGAGCTTCACAGGCACCGGGCCTTGCTTCATATCGCCAGACGAGGGCCCCACCTTGCGCCACCCTCGACCTCTTTTGCGCCGACCGGTCACCAGGACGACACAAAAGAGGGAAAGAGGACGCCAGCGGTTCCCTCGGTGACCACGGGTCCTCTGCCGGGTGAAGGGTTGTGGAGGCCACCCCGGCAGAGGGCCTACCTCCGGGTGTCCCCTGGTTTCGCGTGCCTTGGGGAGGGGCCTTGCTCCTAGCTCCCTTCCGGCGGCCCCGAACGTGTCTCCCTTGTTGGAACGGGTGCCGCCATGCCAGGGTCGTCGATCGACGCTGCCACCTGATTCATCTGCAGCCCATGGTTAGCATAAGCCTGCTTTTGAGAGATTAGCGGTACCCTGTAGTTGCCGTTGTCGGTGCGATCGTTGTGGTTCTCCGTTGGTTCTTGGAAGGCCTCGACTCCTAGCGCCCCCTCTCCTCAATCTTCTCCAATGAACGAGCCAGGGTCGTCCTTTGGTGCGTACCCTTGGTCCATCATGCGGGGCACGTAGGCTTCCGGGGCCATCACCCCGAACACCTCGCCGTGGTGCCCCACGCTCCATGTTGCTCGACCCATGGTGGCGCCCTGGGCATGACTGTATGGCATCTTGCTGTGACCGTGGGGGGCGACGCTTGCGCCCGTGCCGCTGCGGGCGGCATGGGGGAGTCGGAGCCCCCTATGCCGCCGCCCGTGCTGATGTTGATGAAGCCCTCGGGCGTAGTTGATGGTGCGCGGATGTGGTGAGGTTCGCCGCGCGGCCCGACAGTGGCCTAAGAAGGAAGTTGATAGCAGAAGGGCGGTGCTCCCGACGCCGCTGCATCCAGCAGCTCGGCAACACGCTCCAGCAGTGTGTCCCGACCGCTTTCCATCAGCCTGCACCACAGCAGCTCCCTTGCCACGGTGAGCGCTGCCCGCATGTTTGCTTGCTCCCGTCGTGAGTACGGTGCCGTTGTTGCGGCATGGCTCGTTGCTCTTGCGGCAGCCTGTACCTGCCGTGGGGTGAGGGTGGATGACGCTTGGCCGTGCTGCCCGCGTCCGTCGGAGTTTGGCGGCACCCGTGCCGCCTAGAGTGCGTGGTCGTGACCTTCGTGGGTAGGTGTTGCTGCCCGGGCTGGCCAGGCTGCCCAGCGGTCGGAGCCGGCCCTTGAGTCGCCGGACATCGTGGCTGAGGAGCATCGACGAGCTGGCCGGTGGAGGAGGAGCTCCGGCGCACCCCTACTTGGCGCGCCAAATGTCGGATGTGGGGTTCCGGCAAACCCTTAAGGTTCGAACACTGGGGTGCGCGCGAAGTCTTTCCTTCCCACCAATCGACGCCCTAGTTCACTAAGATCTCGCGGACGAACTCGATGAACTCGCACACAGAAAGACACAAGATTTATACTGGTTCGGGCCACCATTGTGGTGTAATACCCTACTCCAGTGTGGTGGTGGTGGATTGCCTCTAGGGCTAATGATGAATAGTACAAGGGAAGAACAACCTCCTGAGGTTGAGGTGTTCTTGAGCTCGGTGAGCTTGTTTGTGTGTGGGTGGACTGAATGATCCGTCTCTCTCCCCGTCCTCTCTAAGGTGGTGGCTAATCCTATTTTATATAGGCCCTGGGCCTCTTCCCAAATATCGAGCGGGAAGGGAGCCAACAATGGCGGGCTAATTCGAAGGGGGATAGCTAGTACAAGCTATCCTGACAAAAGTGGTCTCCGCGTGCCAAAGGCTTTGGTGGTGACGCCGTCTTGGGCTCCACGATGACCTCCATCTTGCCGTCCTCCTGGTCTTGGTCTCGTTGCACCAATATAGCAACCTTTTCCTGATGCCTCGGTACTCTTCGCCTGTGCTTGCCTCCTTAGCACCAAAGAGGAAACAAGGACGCCGCGCGCGCTGGCGCCCGCCTGGTGCCGTGCGTCATGGCTCACGTCACAAGGGTCTCGTGAGGTTTGCCCCGCCTTGATATCTCTGCTCCTCGTGAGCCTGCCTAGCTAGGCTACTCCCGAGGAGGTCTTGCGTCGTCCGCCTCGCGAGGCTTGGACCCTCGTGAGGGTCTTGGACGCTTTGCTGGTGAAGATGGGCCGTACGGCCTGCAGGTTTAGCCACGCCGCGGGCCATAGGCAGGCAAGTCTGGGGACGCCCGTTCCCAGAATGCCGACAAATGCCCCACCTGGGCACTAAGTACTCGCATGGTTACAATGCTTGGGTATTTGTGTGCCATCTCAGCGTTAACATGTATCTCCTCCATGCCATACTCCTTAGTGTCACCTGCATTATTAGTGACAAGCATAGCATGCGTCTCTTCGTCCAGATCACTGGCAAAGGAGTACTCACCATCTTCCCGCATAATGAATGTGCGTTTATTTGGGCAGTCCTTCATCAAGTGCCCCCCACCTTTGCATATATGACACTTCATGTCCCTTGTGCCTCCAGACGAGGTGGTGGGTGCTAGAGATATTACTTTCGAAGCCGCATAGGATTGTGGAGCTGATCTTGAACTTGTTGGGAGTGCAACATTGTTTGGGATATCTGGTGTTGCCTCGGTAGTGGTTGGGACAGTAGGAGATGGTGTCCATGATGAGTGACGACCTAGAGAAAAGTTACCTCGTCCCTTGTTGTGTCGTCCCTGTACTTCCTTTTCGGCTTTACAAGCAAAATGAAATAAATGAGTAATAGAATTGTACTCCTTATAGTCCAATATATCATGAATATCACGATTCAAACCACCTAAAATATAGCCATCACATCATCTTCGGTTTCAACTGGGACCACGCCATTCCCCTGCCGTGGCCCTACGTTCACCCACCGAACCGTTGGCATCTGAACTGAGAGAGGGGTTAAGTGCCAGCCGTTCTGGCCTCTCATCACGCACGGGATGCAGAGATCAGCTGTTGATGAGCTCATCTCCTCGACGATCTCCGCTACGACCATGAATTCGCCGTCGACTCGTCGCATCGGGACACCTAGTTCACCGGCGAGCACGACCAACGACGCCGGCCGTTCTTCGGTGCTTCAGCGCATGAGCCGCCTCACGAGCTGGTCAAGGAGGAGGTAGAGGAGGAGGAGGGCGAGGCCTACAAGAAGGCCCTCGAGGACTCCCAGCTCGACGAGCTCGCCATGTGGCCTGGCATCCCACTGGTGTTGGCCGAATCTGCCGGAATACAGGTCGCCATGCTTGAGCCGGAGCAGGTGCCATGGCCACTGATGTCACTGGTGGGGCACTCGTGGTCGTGGAAGTCCACGGTCCCGTGCACACCCAGTGTGGAGCTGGAGCAACCGGAGCATCAAGAGGTGCCCATTGCGTAACCGCACGAGCACGAGCCGACGACAGTTCTGTGGCCGTTTTCATGGCCGGCTCCACTCTTCGTCGACCTTACCTAGATCTAGGTTTTACTTATTTTTATTTTAAATTAATATACGAACGGACTTTTCGCGGAATGTATATATTTGTAATCCATAAATTGGTCAAAATTTGAAATGCATCCCAACACGTTAGTCATTTTTTTTTTCTTTTTATGGGGAAACATTTGGTCGCATCTATAGGCCCACGGACAAGTCAGACTTTGGTGTCCGCCTGACGGGCCGGGTCAGCCCGTTGGAGTAGCACAATTAAAGTCTGCAAGCGGTCCGTCTTTCTTTTTTCAAACAAAAGATACAAATCTCCTCTCGTCCTCTCCTCCTGAGTAGCGGCCTCGTAGACAAATCTTCCCTGTCCCGACGAAACCCTAACCCTAGATCGCCAGCCCGCCCGCCATGGATCTCCTCCAGTCCTCGTACGCGCCTGGTGACGCATCCTCGCCGGAGGACGAGTCGCTCTCCTCCCCGGACACCTCCCCACTCCGCCTCCCCTCCAAGTCCGCCGCCCCCGCCGTCGATGAGACAGCGCTCGCGCTATCCGCCGCCGCCACTTCCACCTCCCGTCCTATCGACCCCTCCCTCCACCTCATCCCCTTCAACCCCACCGCCGACCAGCTCTGGGCGCCCGTCCTCGGTCCTCAGCACCCCCACGCGCCTATCTCATCCGCATCTGGTCACCGTAACCACAAGCTCGGTCATGTCGAAGACGCAGCGCTCCTCCCCTTCCTCTTCGACGAGCAGTATAACACTTTCCATCGCTTCGGCTACGCATCTGACCCCTCCGGCCTCCACATCATCGGCGACGCGCAGCCACAGGCGCCCGACCTCGACACCGTCTACAACCTCCCTCCTTCTGAGCACAAGCGCCGCCGCATCCAATCCAGGGAGGAAAACCACGAGCCCCTCCCCCCAGAGGCCCAAAACCCTGCATCCGACGAGTGGGTCGTGCACAACAAAAAGAGTCCCTGGGCTGGCAATCGGGAGGGCCCGCCTGTGGAGCTCACGGACGAGCAGAGACAGTACGCCGAGGCACATGCGGCCAAGAAGGCTGAGAAGGAGGCACGAGGTGAAGGGAAGGAGAAAACAGAGGTGGTGGTCAAGAGCACCTTCCATGGGAAGGAGGAGAAGGACTACCAGGGACGATCGTGGATCACTCCACCCAAGGATGCCAAGGCGACCAACGAGCGCTGTTATATTCCCAAGAGGTGTGTACACGAGTGGGTTGGACACACCAAGGGGGTCTCAGCGATCAGATTTTCTCCCAAGTATGGCCATCTATTGCTGTCTGCAAGTATGGATTGTAAGATTAAAATCTGGGACGTGCTTGAGTCGAAGACATGTATGCGGACGTACATGGGGCACTCCAAGGCGGTACGGGATATATCGTTCTCTAATGACGGTAGTAAGTTCTTGAGTGCTGGCTATGACCGGAATATTCAGTATTGGGATACTGAAACTGGGCAGGTGATCTCGACCTTCTCTACTGGTAAGGTACCTTATGTCGTGAAGCTCAATCCTGATGAAGATAAGCAGCATATTCTCCTTGCTGGGATGAGTGACAAGAAGATCGTGCAGTGGGATATGAAGTCAGGGCAGATCACACAGGAATATGATCAGCACTTGGGGGCGGTGAACACTATTACCTTTGTAGATAATAATAGGAGGTTTGTGACATCTAGCGATGACAAGTCTCTTCGTGTGTGGGAGTTTGGCATCCCTGTAGTTATTAAGTATATCAGTGAGCCGCACATGCACTCCATGCCGTCTATTGCAGTACACCCAAACTCTAACTGGCTGGCAGCACAGAGCTTGGACAATCAGATACTGATATACAGCACGAAGGAAAGGTTTCAACTTAATAAGAAGAAAAGGTTTGCAGGCCACATTGTGGCAGGTTATGCTTGTCAGGTGAGCTTCTCTCCTGATGGGAGGTTTGTGATGTCAGGAGACGGTGAAGGTAGTTGCTGGTTCTGGGACTGGAAAAGCTGCAGGAGATTCAAGACATTGAAGTGCCACAATGGAGTTTGCATTGGATGTGAGTGGCATCCGTTGGAGACTAGCAAGGTTGCAACGTGTGGATGGGATGGTGTCATAAAATACTGGTAAGTTGACAAGATAAACATATGAAAACACCTTATATTTTATTCTGCAGTTTTTAACCGATTTGTACTAGTGCACCATTGCTGTTTAAATTGTTTCAGTAAGTAGTTATTGAAATTCATGGGGCCCATGTTGGATTTAGATTGTGCAGTATGTCTTTTAGTATTATTGTAATAACACTTTTCCCTGCTGTGTTCTATTTTATTCATACTATTTTATTTAGCTGGAAGGGTAGTTTAGTTTGCAATTGCAGTAACGTCCATTACATTCAGAATATCAAGACCACACAAACTTGATTATGGTGTCCTTTAAAAAACTTATGGCTAGAACTCGTGTAATGTAGTAGTTTTGTGCATGTTTACTAAATTGTTATGTTTTAATGAACTAGACATCTCTACCTCTTTGCTCTAAATATTCTTTTGTTTATTTTGTTGCTGATTGTGTTGGCTCCTTGGTGCTCCCTTATCTACCATTTATTGATGCTTTTGCTGTTGACCTGTGTGAGGAAGTAATAGTATTGGTTTAGGAGTCCTTATTATTCTATGTTTACTTTCCTTGCTCCTCAAGTCTTTTGTAATATATATATGCCCCTTGGGCCTACAATAAAGATAAGTTGCTTTCCTAACAACCTGATGCTGTTATGATGATTGGTTCTACCCTGACCACTGCTCTTTTTTTCTTGATAAAATGCAAGGCTTTGTTGCAGTTAATGTTATTCCTCCTAAAAACTCAGCTACCAGTGCTGCGTGAAGTCGGGTCTATTCATTTTACCCACTTATCTGATCCATCTTCTACATGCCGCTGAAAATTAAACACGTCCTGGATGATATATTCCTACCCCATTCAAAAGAACTCGCAAATTAAAAATTCAGCTTATGCTGATTGGTTGGGTGCAGAACTGGATAAATGAGAATTGTGCCTTTACTTCTACTCCCTCCGTCCCAAAATTCTTGTCTTAGTTTTGTCTAGATACGGATGTATCTAATACTAAAACGTGACTTGATACATCCGTATTTAGACAAATCTAAGACAAAATTTTGGGACGGAGGGAGTAGTTGCTTAGGGCATCTCCAACGCTGTCCATCAAAACAG